GACGCCTCCCGCTCGGGTGTATCCCCTACACTGGCTACCCACTTACACCAAGGACAGCTGCGGGGAGAGAAGGGGCAACCACACTCCTGAGAGTCTTTTCTTCCAGGGTAGAAGCCAGCCCAGGGCTGGTGGAATGTGCCAGGCTGAGAAGGGGAAAACAGATGAGCTTGGCCTCGCTTTCACCTATCAAGGTGCCCTGCTCAAAACAGCATGATGGCTGGAGGGGTTAGCATGGCAAGGAAAACACAGCAAAGGGTCAGGGAGTGCATGCATGAGGTCTCAGGTTCAGTCTCCAAGAAAGGGAGGAAGAGAAGGGAGAACAGAAAAGCGAGGGCTTGGCAGACAGCTCAGGAGCTCGGGGTACAGCGCTCCCCAAACAAGACCCAGAGACTGAGTCTCATCACAACGTCCTGTCCCTAAGATTAACAGAAACAGGAGAAATCCACAGTGTGTGATAGCATGTGTAACAGGGTAAACGTATAATATCATACATGCTGCATAAGAAGCCAGTTAAGTATAGCACATATATGCATATATGTACAGACTCAGACACACACACACACACCAGATTCCTAACTACTCCAAGCAGGGCCCTTTCTTATCTTATGCATGGGACTCAAGCAATAGAGAACTACACACACTATGTCTACTTTCAGGGTTTGTGTGTATACATACATGTAGACTGGAGGCCAACCTTAGGTGTTATTTCCTATTTTCTAGGCACTTTTTTTTTTTTTTGGTTTTACGAGACAGGATTTCTCTGTATTGTTTTGGAGGCTGTCGAACTCACAGAGATCCGCCTGCCTCTGCTTCCCGAGTGCTGGGATTAAAGACGTGCACCACCACTGCCCCGCCACTTTTTTTTTGAGACAAGTTTTCTCTCAGACCTGGAACTCACCAAGTAGGTTAGGCTGGCTGATCATGCAGAACCCCAGGAACCGGACTTTCTCCTCCTCCCCTGTGCAGGGATTAAAAACAGAAGCCAACACAACACCCATCTTTCTCACATGCATTATGGGTATCGAATTCCTATTCTTATGTTTGTGGGGCAAGCACACTACCCACTGAACATCTCCCAGCCACTGTTATCAGGTTTTCTCAGCTGCACCTGAACTTGAAGTCAGAGGCATCAACTAGGGCTGGGTGGCAGCTGGGCTATTCACATGTGCAAGATGTGAACAGGTTAAGGAGCCTCTCAGCCCGTTTCCTCATCAGGCTCCATTCATTGTTACGAAGACAGTGGAATCACATAATCACATGCTTAGAGACAGCACAGCCCAGAAAGTGCCCAGTCCCATGAACGAGGGCCAGATCTGTATCCCAGATGTCCCAGCAGGGCTGGGTAGGAGAGCCCTGTTTGGGTTTGTGGACTCCAGACCCAGAGAGCCAGACAGAACAGGCAGTGAGGCAAATGCCAACTGTAGGTGAGCTGAGTGCCCTACAGGGTGATAATCACACAAACCTGTATCTCTGAAAGCTAAGAGCCAAAGTCAGGACCAACCCGTGAATGCCACCACTGAGATGCTTGGTTTTAATGCAACTTGCCACAAATTAGAATCATCAGAGTAGGGAGTCTCTGTGGAGGAGTTGTCCCAGTTGCCATACATGATATGGGAAGAACTGCCCCAAATATGAGTGTCAGCTACTGGGCTGCCCAGATTTAAGGGATAGGGCATGGCTGAAGGAAGATCCTTTGCTTGACTGGTATCCTTCTTGCCTCTGGGCTGATTTACCCAATTGCTGCTGATTGCTTCAATGAAAGCAGAACCGAAGTGTCCAGGCTTCCACAGTAGACCGAGTCCTGCGGCTCTCCAGGAGCTGTCTGGGTTTTCAGTGCCAGATTGAGACTGCTGAGGTACCTGGGTTTAAGGACCAGATAGATGACTACTGGTTCTCAACCTCTCAGGTGTGAGAGAGAGCTGTTGTTATTTCAACAGAAGCTGTTTAATCTTTCAACAAACATACATATGTAGATAGATGGATGATAGATTGACAGACAAGTGATAGATGACAGTTGGTATATAGATTAGATAGATGATAGATAGATAGATAGATAGATAGATAGATTGATAGATTGATAGATAGGTAGACAGATGATAGATAGATAAATAGATGGATAGATAGGTATATAGATAGATAAGTAGATAGATGATAAATGAGTAGATAGATTATAGATCAGTATTAATCCCAGCACTCGGGAGGCAGAGGCAGGCGGATCTCTGTGAGTTCGAGGCCAGCCTGGTCTACAAGAGCTAGTTCCAGGACAGCCTCCAAAGCCACAGAGAAACCCTGTCTCGAAAAACCAAAAAAAAAAAAAAAAAAAAAAAAAAGATTATAGATAAGTAGAAGATAGATAGATAGATAGATTATGGATAAGTAGAATATAGACTATAGATAGCTATATAGATAGATGATTGATAGACAGACATATAGATAGATAAGCTTTCTGGTCAAGACATGGAGATGAAATTCTGGACAAAAACAGGCCAGTTCTGCAAGCTTTGAGGACTTCTTCCTCACCCATGGACATGCAGAGAATGTTCTGGAACATTGGGGCAGAGAGGTGGAGATCCACAAATATTGTCCTGCTTTGTGCTACTCTGTTTTCTTTGGTCTTTCCTTCACCCCTGTTAGGTTGGGTGGGAGGACTCTTCCCTTCTCCAGCCCGGCTATAGGGTGCCCACTCCTGGGGTGATAAGCAGCTGTAAAAGATGGGGCTCCCTCCCTGTGGGTTTCTTAAGGCACCAAGAAAAAAAGCCAGAGCTGGTACAGGCCACTCAGGAGTTGGCGAACACAGATGGAACATGGAATCCGGACAAGCACATCAGAAGGCATTCCCAAACGGCCTCCCAGAAAAGAGGAGTTGCCATCCAAGACGCAAGAGGCAGAGATCGCCAGCAATGCAAAGGCTCAAAGTTAAACATGATCCACCACACTTAGGAAGCTGAGGGAGCTTCATGATGCTAAGACACAGAAGGCTGAGGGTGACTGGAGAAACTACTGGAGAGAAGGAAGCAAGGGAACCCTTGCGTGTTGTGTGATGGGTCCTGGCTGCATGGGGAGGTGGGGGGTTTCACAGGAACATCTGGCCTCTCCCATTGCCCTCCTTGAAGACAGTGGAGGGGCTGAAGGCTGGAGTCCTGCCAGGCTGAGCCTCCCTCCCTCTGCAGCCCCCACACAAACACACAGAGTTTTGAGGATGGCACAGGCAGCCACCTCAGGGAGCCTTCAGAAACAGTGTGGCCAGATTTGCTCATAGTAAAAGCAAAATGTAAAAAGTGGGCCAAGCCAGAGAGGGGTGACTACCAAGTTCACAAGGAGCAGTTTGAAATGACTCCACAGCGCCTACCCTGCCCTTAAAGGAAGGAGAAAATAAAAGAAGGAGGGGAGAAGAGAAGGAAGAGGGAAGCAGAGAGGAGAAGGGAGGAGGACGGTACGGAAGGAGGAAGGGAAGGAAAGGACGGAGTGCTATGAAGAAATGGCTAGCCAGATGGAGGGACGGGCCAAAAGTTACTAGTGTCAATAAACAGGGGTGTGGGTGCTGCATAAGATTTCTGGACTCATCTGACAGCTGGACACAACACAGCTTGCTAGATGGAAGTCACAATCTTGGTGGCTTGATGCATCCAAGAAGAGGAAGCTGCTCCCAGTGCCACACTAGGGTTTGCCCCTGACACAGGGTGACAGCAAGCCAGACCTGTAGGGGCAGCTTCTGGGTGACATGTAGGTGGGGCTAGCTGAGTCTCACACTCCTTGGGGATTATCTGAGTGTGACTCTGATAATACAGGACTCTGCATAGCTGTTGAGTATCTGGCCCCAAGGTGAAGAGGTGCTCCCCACCAGAGTGAGAACCCAGTAAGAGAAGCAGTTGGAATGTAAACTGAGCTAGCCACTCCAGACCCAGCAGCAGTCAGCGGAATGGGGACAAGATAGCAGGGCTTTGGGGGTTTTGTTCTTGGTTTTGAGTCTGGATCTCACTACGTACAACTGGACAGACCTCTAACTCCAAACCCTACAGCCTCAGCCTGTGGGTCACCAGCCCAGCTACAATGTCTGTGCTATAAAGGTCATGGATAGTCCTTCCCTTCTAACCCCTCAGGGCTGTGGTGGGGGCTGTGGTTTTCCCTGCAGGAGTGGGTAGTCACACAGCATCTGCATCCAGTTTTAGCCAGCTGGCAGGTTCACTCACCTAGGTGGACCAGAGACCGGGAGCCACAGGAGCTCCCTGACGTCAACAGGACACCCCAGAGAGGAGCAGATGAGGCAATGGGACACCCCAGTCAGAAGAGCCTTGATTCAGCTTCAGCTGGTCCAAAGTCAAGCCAGGGATAGACCCCAGGCTGACCCATCCCTATAGTGACATTTGACACAACCCCCACCCCCAGGGTGTGAACTTGATTGAGAGATATTCAGGGACAGGGGGACAGCAGCTGGGGCTCTGTGTGGATTCCTGGAACCTTAGGCTCACTCTTGGCTAGTCTCTGAGCTTCCCTGCACCCTCCTCCGCTCCTCAGATCTGCAGAGTAAAGCACTGTAGGTCTTTAACGGATCTTCAAAGGAAATGAAAATGGCTAGAGAGCTTGGAAGTGAAGGAATAAACTGCTTCTAAATGCCCCAAAGGAATTCAGTGTCTGGCAGGGGTACGGGCTCAGCTCACCCAGGGACTTGGCGGACGGTGTATCCCGTCTCTCAAATGTATCCTAGTTTCTGCCTCAGCACCCTTGGGAGGTGTGCATAACAAAAACAAAACACTTTCCCCTGGCCAACTGGCTACCTTCTATTTACACCCTTTATGTAAATGCCTACTGTTTGCACCTAAAACTCAGAAGGAGACCCAGTAACGATAGACAGTGTTATGTTAAACACAGACTTTCACGTGGCCATTCTAACAGCAGGGGAAAACATTTGCCTCTCCAGGCTCTCCGGCACAGTCGGCACAAATGGAAGGCTACCTGTGGCCCTCCCAATTTGGCCTCCAGCTAGGGAGTTCCAAAAACATCACAGCTGGGAGCTGCTGCTGAGCCGGGAGCGGGGAGCTTGAACTGGGCTAGAGGTGGAGGGAGGAGTGCCCAGGAGAGTGATGACATCACCGGCCAGCCCTTGAAAGATGAGCTGTTCCCCGTGCCACTCCAGCCAGCTCTCAGATGGGTAAAACGATTGGGACTGCACGACAGGCGGTCACTGGACCTGGACCGAGGGACTCCCAGGAACACGGACACGGCTTGCTCCAGAAAAGGTGAGTGTCCCGCAAGAGCTAGTCCGAGGGGAGCACAAATGTCCCAGCACAGAGAGATCCCGGCCAGAAGCTGGGACCAGTCCCAGGCTCCCAGACTTTCTACGGTCCTGAGGAGTTGAAGGAACACTCCCTTCCTCCCCTAGGTCTGACAAATGGCTGGAGGAAGGGTTACAGTTACTTACAGACAGGAGGATTCACCCTGTTGTTCCCAGCTCATCTCCCCCGTGTCGCCGTGTCCCCCGCAATCCCCGTACCCGCCGCCAGTGTCCCCCGCAACCCCCATACCCGCCGCCAGTGACCGGTGATTTGAGTTTTATAGACTCCGTGTGGACTCCGTGGGCTAAAGCAGGAAGCAGTGAGCGCAAGGCAGCGGCAGGACAGGTGTTGCGAGAATCTCACTTTTTACTCACTGAGCCACTAATGGTCCCTCGTGAGCCCGGAGACTCTGCAATGTCTGAGCCTTGCTTTCTCTGTAAGGTGTGCTCGGCTGCTGCTCGGAGCAGAAGTTAAGACCGCAAAGAGACTTTGTCTCCACTGGCTGATGTGCCCATATGTGGCAGCAGTGGCAGTTTTAATCCACAAAGGCTCTGTGTCACTCCCGTCCTGGTCCTTCTTCGAGGTGGTGGCTGTGAGTGAGCTGGGTGTGCTGCCCTGGGTTTGAGTCCCATCTCTGCTGCTTCCATCCCATGGGTGCCGTTGTTGGTTAAGGTTTTGTATCACAGGGCCAGGGCCCCAGAGAAGACTCAGTGGCTCCTTTTACTGCAGAGACCGGAGTGTGGTACTCCGGGGACATCCCACGTGTGTGGTTTGCAACTCAGATTGCTGGCTTGGTAGCTCCGGGGCCTGTGTGGGGTGGTGGCGGTGATGCTCATGGGTTAGACAGTTAGAATGCGCCTTCCTGAGTCACAAGCTGCCTGTGGCTCTCTCCAACAGTCACAGGAAGCAGGGGCTCTGGCTGGGTGAGGGTGTGGTGCCGTGCCAGTGTCAGAGAAGTGTGGTGTCCTGGCCCTTTTGTGTCTGGTGCCCCTCCCCCACCCTGCTCTGTGCCCCAACAGCAGCGAGGGTGATGGGAACACCTCACAACTGTGAGGCTCGGGAACCTTGCTTTTTTTTTTCTTCCACTCGGATAGGGGTGGGAACAGGCAGGAAAGGAAGGCTGGAGAAAATATTAAAAATGGAAAAGCACGTGTGCTTGCCTGGCAGGGGACCCTAGGAGCTCATGCCAGTTCTACTCTGAATATGCACTGCTCTCGATGCATTTAGAAAGGCCGCTGTAGTTTTGCACTTCAAGGCGCCCAGCACCGATGGGGAAACTGAGTCTGGGGGAGGCAACAACCTCACCAATGTCCTTTGTACATAGTCCAGGGAGTTCCGTAACTATGGGACTTAGGCTCTGTCACCTTTAAATAAGGGAAAGATGGAATGATTGACTGGAGCCAGTGTGAGGACCCTGCTCTACAGGGAATCCATCAGATACCAAGCCCAGAATAACTGGACCACGTGACCTCTGCTAACACAGTGATTGGCTGGACAAAAAATCAGGGTGTCTGAGAGTGGCATTAGGGCAGCCCCTCTCTGCTGTGCGGCTGTGGTCAGGAAGGGACCACATGGGACAAGGGAGAGTTGTGCAGATTGCCCGGGAGCCTGGCCTTCCAGAATGAAGATGAGAACTGCACCTCTATGTCTGCCTACTCATGGGCTGCAGAGTTCTCTGCTGGAGAACTGCTCCTCGGGACCACTGTTTGTTGAGTACATGAAAGACTGAATGAATGAATGAATATACAGTGGTCACAGAGTAGACTCTGAGAGCACCCGGCTTGTTACCAAGTGAAAAGAGCTGGTTGGGAAAGGTGGCACTGTGAGCCCCTCCCTAGGACACTCTGGAGAAAGCTACAATATAGGGACAAGAAGGACAGGGCAGGGATTAGATGGGAACCCTCTGTATTTCCCCCTTAAGTGTCCCGTGAACCCCCATCTGTTCTTAGGAAAAGCTCACAGATCAGGTGGGTTTGTGTGCTGCTTGAAGAAGTCAAAGGCCAGACAGGCAGTGGTGGCGCACGCGTTTAACCCAACACTCGAGACAGAGGCAGGCAGATCTCTGTGAGTTCGAGGCCAGCCTGGTCTACAGAGCGAGTTCCAGGACAGCCAGGGCTACACACAGAGAAACCCTGTCTGGAGGAAGGCCAGAGTAATGACGACAAACAACAACAAAAAACAAACCAAGGATCACAAGTAAACAGGGCTAGACTCCACTGACACCCAAGTCCCTGAGCGACTACTTCTAACATCGGCTTCTTGATTCGCGAATCCCCGCCTGTAAGCTATTTTGTGTGTCTGTTGCCTGGACCAGAGAACTGGCCATTGCCCATGACCTGGTCCATCTCAGGAGGGCTGCAAGACTAGCAATCCCCTCCTCAAGAGGAGGTAACCAGCTTCCCCAGAGCCAGGGCTCCGTTGACTGTCGTGAGGGTCTGCGCTGGTCAGCTCTCCTTGGCCTCTCTGTAGGTGGAATGTCTACAGTCCTTCATCTGCCCTCTAAGAAAAGAGTTCAATGTGGAGCCCTCCTGGTTTTCTGGGGTGCCTACACCCCAAACACACACTCAGGGATACACTCCAGAGCAAACCGGAGAATCCATCTTTCCCTGATTCCATCACCAAGGTGGGGTCTCTGAGACTCCGGAGGCCAGAAAACTGTGGGGTCCCATAACCCCCCACATTGTCAGAGGGCAGAGTGAGGTGGAATATAAAAGACCTGGCTTCCAAGTCTTGGTGGTGTCACTTACTGAGGGAGACTTTCTCAGTCTCTGCTTGTTCGCCTGTGGCGGGGACAATAGTTCCTGTTTCAGAGGAGCCCTGCAAAGCCACTTAGAGCACAGACTAGATGGATGCCTATACCCTCGTGGTTGAGACCCCTCCCCTCCCCTCCCTGCGACTCTCCCCTCCCCTCCACTCTCCTGTCCTGTCCTCTCCAGTCCTCTCCTCTCCTCTCTTCTCCTCCCTCTCTCTTACCCCTTCTTCTGAAGCTAAGCTAGAATTGAATCCCTCCTTCCCCAACCACATGGCCTAGAGCAAGCAACTTAGCTCTCTGAGCCTTGGCTCCTTAAGCTATAAATAGAATCAGAAACTGTCTTAAAATTCAAACTGGAACCCCCCTGAGAGTCTGGTGTGAAGGGACAGTCCTACTCTCCCACAGCAGTGCCATTGGGAGGCCAGTCACAAAGAGGGCGAGGGGAAGACACAGACAGTAACGCCACCAAAGCACAGCCAGCGACTCGAGACTGCTGGCTTCTGCCGTAACAAACCCAACAAAAGTAAATTGTAAAGTGATACTGGAGTGAGGGCCCCACACCAACAATGTCAGCTTGAGAGATGCATGGCCATTGCTCCGATTTGATTACTATGTACAGGATGCATACGATCAGTCACTGCAATGCATTCCATGAAGAAGCACTCGTATCTCAATTTTTTTTTTCAAAAAATAAGGGTCGGGGTGTACCTCATAGCACTTGCCTGGTATGGGTGAGGTCCCGGATTCCTTTTCTAGCACCTCAAAAAATGAGGTGGTGTGGTGGTTAGTTTTTCTGTCAACTTGATACAAGCTAGAGTTATCTAAAAAGAGGGAACCTTAATTAAGAAAATGCTTCCAAAAGATTGGCCTGCAGGCAAGCCTGTGGAGCATTTTGTTAATTAATAATTGGTGTGGAAGGACCAGCCCACTGTGGTCGGTGTTGTCACTGGGCAGGTGGTCCTGGGTTGTAAAAGAAAGCAAATTGAAGCCGGGCGTTGGTGGTGCACGCCTTTAATCCCAGCACTCGGGAGGCAGAGGCAGGCGGATCTCTGTGAGTTTGAGGCCAGCCTGGTCTACAAGAGCTTGTTCCAGGACAGCCTCCAAAACTACACAGAGAAACCCTGTCTCAAAAAAAAAAAAAGAAAAGAAAAGAAAAAAGAAAGAAAAAGAAAAAAGAAAGCAAATTGAGCGAGCCAGTCAGCAGCTCTCCTTCATGGTCCCTGCTTCGGTTCCTGCCTCCAAGTTCCTACCTTGAGTTCCTGCTTTGGAACTGTGTTCCTCCATGGACTGTTCCAGGATACATAAGCCAAATAAAGCCTTCTCTCCCCGGGCTGCTTTTGGTCATGATCTTTCTCACAGCAATCGAGAGCAAACGGAGATGGGTGAGTTGCCCAACTGATGCGTGCAGAGGTGCGGACAGTGTACCTGGGAGTGTCTGTGCGTGTCCTTACACACGGACATGGGCATCTCCCATGAAAGCCAGGCAGCGTCTGGAAAGAGAAGGGATGGATGCCAAGAGACAGCCTAATGAGGGAAAACTGGGGATTGTTTTGCCTTTTTTTTTTAAATCTCAAATCTGTGCACAAGGATTGCAAGACAGAAGGAAGAATCCGGGTCTCGTCACCAGCTATTGCCCCTATCCCGCTGGGGAAGCAGCTCTCCACCACTGCGACACGGCGTCTATCCTCATTCCCAAAGGGCCAAGGGGAACTCCAAGCCTTAGCTCTGCCAGCTCCCACACCACCGCCCCAGAGAGAGCAGCGAGCTTGACCCTCTCCTTCAGTTCTTATCAGTCACGTACCCAGAGAAGACCATGCCCATGGGGCCAAGCGGCCCCAATGCAATCTGTTGTCTGATGGAATCTCCATAACAGCAGTCTCCAGGCCTTCATGGAGGGCCTAACAGGGCTGGATCACGCCGGGAGGGAGGCTGAGGGTCACCCTGCTTTCTTCTGTACTCTTTGAAGTTCTCACGGGCACTTAGGTCCCTTTGCAGAAATAGAAATAAAAATTTAAAGCTTAGAAGCAAAGCAAACAGGAACATAAATAAGAAGACAAGCTTCATGGTGGCTGACACCTGCCTGCAGAAAGCCGAGGCAGGAGGATTACCCTAAGTGTGGGGCCATCCTGGGCGACCTTGTGAGTTCTGTACCAGCAGCCTGGGTTTACTTATACCCTGATAGGTATAACAAGGTCTGAAAAGGTGGGATGGG